TACCTTGATTCTGGAAATAAATTCGACGGACTCTCTATGATGCTTTGTCCCAAAGATGCATCAGCTTTCACAGGGTTTTCAATTTTAGGTTTCTGCAACAGAAAGTGGCAAATTAAATACTCTCGGCTCTCAACCTAAGCTCAAAGTCAAAATCTCGAATTAATCCCACAATTCGACTCAAAAAACAAGGGTTTCTTACGTTTTCTAGTTAACCAAACAGTAATGGAATAAATTGAACTGTAAAGGGTGTTGAATTAAACTTACTTGATCTCGAAGAATCACCTTGTACCTCTGTCTTTTACGTTTCTGATCCCTGGAAGAACCACCGAAACACCCAATAAAACAACCCATTATAGATCGACACTGAGTCTCTCTGTTCTTAATTTACAGAGATTTGAAGGGGGGTTTTCCGCCTTCTAATGGGTGTTTGAGGAATCGAATTGTTAAAGGGTCTCCATAGACGGAATGAGAAAAAGAAAAACAGATAGACGGAATGGTTTTTTGGAATTGGGGGGGATTAGGGTTTATGTTTTTGAAAAGGGCTAGTGACCGTTGGGTTCAGAGTGAAACGGGAGAATGATGGGCGTGGGGTCTTCTACTGCCACCTGTCCACCATAGACTGTTTTATCCTTTTTAGTTACTTTAATGTCTGATCATTTGAATTACATGTACACAGTTTCAATCGATCGTCTTTCAAAACAGATTAAAACTCCACGACTCCCGTTAAAAAGTATCATGCTATAGCAATGATATGAAGTATGAACCAAGGCTCCCATTAAAGAAAGTCATACTCACAAACTAAAAAAAGCCGTTTTGCTAGCCTCTCATACGTAATTACACGGTTTTAAACAATATCGATTTAAAGCATTTGGACCGGCTATATTAGATTTAACCGGTCAGCAAGACATCTGACTATGACATGACATCCATTCTGGAAAATGAGAGAATTAAAATTTTAAAAAAAATAAAAACATCATTTTGATTATCTACTTGCAACGGGCTTGTCATTCCACTTTTCCAAATTCGCAAAACCAATGGAAACACTCTTCTGAGCTGAATTTTTTTTACAAACATATTGTCTTCTTTTGCGAAGGTATCTGTTGTTCATTAGTCTCTGCAATCTATTTTGTACGAACTAAAACCCTTTTATGAGGTTATAAATTCTTTTATGAATGAAATTGATTTTTCAAATATAGGCATTTTACAAGCTAAATTAGTTCCTTTTTCTTTCAGCAAGATGAAGTCCGAGAGTAGGATCGTAGGTCGCTTATAGCGTAATTGATAGCCGGAAGCTACTAATTGATATCCGATATTTGGTATTTGGCATCCAGTATCTAATATAGTTAAAAACTCAACTAATGGAGTTTTTTCCTTTATTTTACAAAAATATAATCTTTCTGTTTAAAATAAAAGTTAAAAACTCAACTAATTGAGTTTTTTTTTTATTTTACAAAAATAAAAAGCTTAAGAGCTTTCAAAAGCTTTCAAAAGCTTTATGTCCAACACGCTTGTATGATAGTTGATTCCAATTAAATAGGAGTAATGAAAATGCCAAAAACTTGCATAATCGAGTTTGAATATTAGTGTTTATACACGACAACTAGTTCCATAATATACTACATTAAGAGTTTGAACTAAAAATTGGAATCTAGCAATCGTATAAGCTTATAAAAAGTAAACTTCCATCAACACACATATCATCTAAAACCTTAATCTGTTTGTGTGTATACGTGCATGCCATAATTAACAGAATATCATGGTTTTGAAAGCAGCGGATGAAATTGGACTACGAAAAGATTTTACTCAAGACGGGACTACAGATCTTAACGGAAGACCTGTCCTCAGACCAGCCACCGGGAGATGGAAAGCCTGTTACTTTATGCTCGGTTAGTTTCTTCTATCTTTATACATTTATTAACTCGTTACTCCACTAGAATTTTGGTCATAGCTACGGATTATGCAGCTGTGAAAAGTTCATCACGATTTTTAGCGACAGAGTTTTTAATAAATTAGCAACGAAAATACCAACATTTATAAAGAATTTAAAGCATATACTACGTTTGCAGGCTATGAAGTGTGTGAAAGGATGGCATACTATGGAATAGCGACAAATCTAGTGTTGTATTTGACACGTGAAATGAAGGAAGGCACCGTGAAATCATCGAATAGTGTCACGAATTGGGTCGGAACAGTTTGGATTACACCTATTTTAGGCGCTTATATTGCCGACACTTATCTCGGTCGATACTGGACTTTCATGATTGCTTCCATTATTTACCTTGTGGTAAGAAAATTTCACCATTTTTCATGAGTTTTGAGTTGCGAAAATCGAGTGAAGTAATTTTCGTTTCATGTTTTTCGACACAGGGAATGAGCTTATTGACGCTTGTGGTCACCATACCGTCACTAAAACCACCATCTTGTGGTAAAAACGTAAGTTACCTCGACTGTGATGAACAACCTTCGTCTTTCCAAATTGGTATTTTTTACTGTGCATTGTACATTATTGCGGTTGGAACTGGTGGAACCAAACCAAACATCTCGACAATGGGTGCAGACCAATTTGATGATTTCGAACCCAAAGAAAAAGCTCAGAAACTCACATTCTTCAACTGGTGGATGTTTAGCATCTATTTTGGTACCCTATTTTCAAACACATTTTTGGTGTATATACAAGATAATGTCGGATGGGGTGTGGGCTACATGATCCCAACGGTGGCATTGTTAGCAGCAATGGTGGTTTTTATTGTTGGGACACCTCAATACCGCCATAAGCCCGCATCCGGGAGCCCGATTACTAAGATGGCCAAGGTATTGACCGCTACAATACATAATTGGAACCGGGCCCTACCTGATGACCCTAAAGAGCTTTACGAATTAAGCCCAGATAAGTATTCAGGCCCCGGAAAATACATGATCGGCCACTCGACTTCTTTAAGGTAATTAAACCACCCCTATTCTTTCCTTTTTATGTGTTTGTTCCCCATATTGGCTAAACATAATCCATCTGTCTTTATATATGTTCTTGACATTTTTGGAAAGAAAATATATAGCTCCACGAGTCTTAACACATTGAGCCAAATCTCATTTAGTGTCAATGCTCTATATCCTAACGTTTTAGTGTACATGATACAATCTAGATGTTGGACTCTTTATGAAAGAAAATCAAATGTATTTAAAACTTTTTAAAATCATATGATAAATCAAAGAAATTTTCCGTAGGTTTCTTGACAAAGCCGCCATAAGGACCGAAGAACCATTTTCAGAATGGAGATTTTGTCCGGTGACCCAAGTGGAACAGACCAAACAAATGATGAAAATGATTCCAATCTTGATAGCGATGTTCATACCGAGCACATTAGGGGCACAAACCCATACACTCTTCATCAAGCAAGGTGTGACATTGGTTCGATCAATGGGCCCACAGTTTGAGATCCCACCCGCATGTCTCTCAGTATTTGTGACGATTTTCCTTCTAATAAGCATCATACTCTACGATCGTTTTTTCGTTCCCACCATTAGAAAATACACCAAAAACCCAAGAGGCATCACATTACTACAACGAATGACAATTGGACTCGTTCTCCATGTCTTTATCATGATCATTGCAAGTGTCGTGGAAAGAAAACGACTAAGTGTCGCTAAAGATCATGGCCTTATTGGAAATGATCAAGTGGTTCCTTTGAGTATCTTTATTCTCCTTCCTCAATTCGCGTTAATGGGAATTGCAGATAGTTTCTTAGAAGTTGCAAAGCTTGAGTTTTTCTATGATCAAGCACCCGAAGGGATGAAGAGTCTTGGGACTGCTTATTGGACGACTAGTATTGGGATTGGGTATTTTCTCAGTAGTTTTATTCTTTCGACTGTGGCTGATGTTACAAAGAGGAATGGACATAAAGGTTGGATTCTAGATGATTTAAATGAGTCTCGTATAGATTATTACTACGGGTTTTATGCGATCTTAAGCTTCGTGAACTTGTTGTTCTTCCTTGTGGCTGCGAAATACTTTGTGTACAATACTGAAGTGAATGAGTCGGCCAACGAGTTGCAAGAAGATATCGGGAAGTTTACTGAACAAGGATACATTGCTAGTTGATATATTTAACCTCGAAAAGAATTGAATTTTGATTTTTTTTCTTCTTTCGCAAGTATGATATATAGATTCTTTTGATGTAAAGTATTTATTATTTGATCAACCATTGATTATGCACCTGAATTCATGTAACTGTGTATATTTCTCAAAATTATTTTTTGTGACTTAGCTAATTGTGGTAAAAAAAAAAAAAAAAAATAGATGATCTAAAAACCTAACTTTTTGTGAATCATGTAACTATATAAGTGGTGCTTATATGTTCTAACATTGTTTTGATAATTTAATTCTTATTTGAAATGATTATTGATTTCTTGTGATTGACACCGGTTAAATAAGTTATTGTAAATGTTTGGAAAGAACATTAAAAGCACTTATTCATTTAAATAAAAAGTTTTTGATAAGTTATTTCATTCTTACTTGTTAGCTTAAATACATAGTTTTTGATAAATTATTTCATCGTGTATGTTAAACGTATAAGCAAACTTTGTCAAAAACTAAAAAATATTTATCAGCTTATTATGTATCATCTAATCCAAACAATGTCTTTTTTGTTAAAACTTCATTTTGAAAGCAAATAACGTATTCCTTGAAATGATATTTCATTGTTGTAGTGAAGAAGAAGAAACACAAAAGATTTATAACATATTAACATTTCTTGTGAGAGGTATTTTGTATTTGGATGCTAGATTAATGAAGAGATACATCAAATAAGCTTGAAAGGTTTGGCAAGTGCAGTTGTGTACAGTTATGTTTCTGTTAAGCTTTCATGTGATTGTTTTTCAAGTGTCGCAAATTCTCATCTGTTCTCACTCATCACATTCACAGTTTCACACTAAACATCACTATCCTGGATTTGATTTGTCAGCTAAGCTATTTGTGAACGAAACAAATCATTTAAATGTAAATAGTCGTTAACATTCACATCTGTCATATTCAAAACTGTCTCACTCAAGATTAGGCAAATTTTAACACTTACTTAATTGCAACAAATGAATCGATTTCAAATACATAAAAGAATTAAATCCTTGAAACAATAATGATATGTAGTCAATTACAGGTTGGGTGACAAAAAACAGTGGTTATCTAAATGGCTCAATTGGTTCTTTTTCCGAAAGTAAAGTAGCAGCCTCGAAACAATTGGCAGCTTCTTTTAGGAACATGGGCCCATCATCTTTATAAAGCAGGCCCAAATTATACCAAGCTGATGAGTTCAGCCTGTCTAATCTTAACGCTTCGGTCAAAAAGCTTTTAGCTGCTGCAGCAGACTTCCCTCCTCCTCCTCCTCCTGCTCTTCGGATCATCACAGCCATTGAAATCAGACTCTGGACATGACCAGGATCCACATCCAACGCAAGCTCTTGAGCTTCTTGAGCTTCTTTCTCAAGACCTTTCGCTTCATACAGTAAACCTACAACAAATTTCAAACTTTAAATGACGATTTCACCCTTGGAAAAAATACAGAAGACAAATACAACATACCAGTGATATGCAATCGAGAAGCGTTGTAGTAACCGATATTTTCAGATTTCAAAAGACAAGCCTCGGCATCCCGCCATTGTGATAACTTCATATAAACCATAGCCAGATCATGCCATGTTTCCATCTCCAAGCTTTTAAGCTGATGCTTTCCATAACCCATCTTAACAAAAAAAAAATCAAAATCAAAATCGGATTTCTCATTGAGATCCAAAAAGTAAGCATTATTATTACCTCGTGGTTTTTTTTCTGAGATCGAAAGCTTTTGCTTTGAACTTGAAGAACAGCAAGAATCTGTGTGTATGTCTGAATAGCATTCTTTATAACCCCTTGAGCAACCTGAAGCCTTGCTTTCGTCCTCAACAACTCTCCTTGATCCCATTTCCCAGTCTGTTCTAACGCAGCGTTAATTACGATTTCGCCCTCAGAAAACCGTTTCTGAGCCGATAATATTCTCGCCAATAAAATCCACCCTCTAACACTCGACCCGCCTTCCAATTTCACCAAACGTTTCGCGTAACCAAAAGCCACATCCAACTTCCGTTGTTCCGCGTTTTCTAAACTCAAAAAATAAACAACTCCGGAATCACTCATTCCGGTCAATCTCCCCGCCGTTTCCAAACACCGAATCACCTCCGATTGCTTCTCCGCCCTTTCAAAATCACTAATCGCAAATCTACAATCATTGGAAAGACTAACTCCCAAGAAGCAATACGCGACTCCAACCATCTCATCACATCTCGTTTCAAATACCCGAATCGCCCTTTTAGCACAACTCGCACCTTCGATTGAATCCGAGTTTTCACCACAAATTTTCGAAGCCAAGAGTAAAGCCAACCCGCAATGCGGATCCTCTTGTTTATATATATTTTTCAATAAATTTAAAGCAGACAAATCGTCACCTTGTCCATGGTAACATAGAGCCAAAAGAAGACACCTTTCTTTTTTATCAAGAACACCCGGAGGAAGCTCTTCGAGCTGTGAAAACAAAGCCCCGAGTCCACCCGAGATTGATAACGCGTATGAAAGATGATATAAAACAGCCGGGTCCCATTTGATCATTTTTAATGAAACTTTTCTTAGTAGAATCATTAGAATTAAGATTGCTTCTTCGATGTTGTTTCTAGGTACGAATGAGGTGTCCATTTGGGATCTTAGATTAGGAGGGATGGCTTCTTCGCCTCCATTGTAAAGAAGAAAAACAGCGAAATCTTTTTGAATTTTTGCAGTTGTTTCTGGATTCAAACTTTGATGATGAAGTAGGGCCCGTCTGAATGACAATACTGCTTCTTGGGGTGAACCCTCGAGTTTCCATAACTCAGGAAGCAACTCGATTGCATGGTTTAGGGTTTCATGTAATTTACAATCAGCACCTAAGTTTTCAGGCAACCCTTCGGGTAATGATGATTCGATAATGTCAAGGATTACTTTGCATGATTGAGCAGCTTCTGCAAAGAGTAGAAAATCAAGACATATGATCCTCTATAATGGATTTTATTTCAACATTTGAGCCTAAATGATGATCATAAGTAGAAGTAGGATGCCCCCAAACAGGTATATATAGAACAAGAAGAGTACCTTTATACCTCTGAAGAATTTGCAATGATTTTGACTTTAAATAAATTGCTTCAAGGAGTAAACCAACAGCATGTATAGACAAAGGTGGATCTCCATAATTATGAGAAACTCTTCTACGAGGTTCACCTCTTTGGGAAAGACTAATCTTCATCTTTGGAGTTACTGTTGCTATATCTATCCCTTCAAACACATGAAGAGCAGCTTCTATGTTTCCCTTTTGATATTCATATCTCCCTAACAATGCTCTTGCTTCCTATATTACAATAACATTCAATTACCAATTCTAATAGACTTTCTTAACCAAAAAAAAAAAAAGATTAAAACTTGTTCTATGGGTTCAGTTCAAACGAGGAAATATGGAAAAATGTAAAAAGTTTAGAGAAACAACCTCAAAATTTAAGGAACCATTTTCACGAAGAGATGATTCGGCTTCTTCAATATTACCCGTATCTGGCCTCCTATCGTTTTCACCAGTGACTTGAGAAGAATAAGCACCAGAGGAACAATCCTCCACAGCTAATGATTCTGATGAAGATATCATCACTCTTGCTAGCTTAATTCAGCACCAAGTTTGAAATTATCGCAAAGAATCTGCAAGATGAGTTGTTAACACAATTGCTTGCGATTCCAAATCTTGTTTTATACAAAAAATAAACTCAATTCAGTATTCGTCCAAAATAATAATCACTAAATCTGCCCAATTCAAACCCTAATAAAGAACAGTTCGGAAAAACTAAATCAGAGATTCGAAATTCAGGACGCACCACTAACTTCAAACCCTAGAGACCAAAAACCCTGATCAAAACAACCAGGAAAACGCCAAAATCAAAGATAGTAGACGAATTACCAAAACTCGTATTTAACAGCTCATAAAACTCAAATTAAATATATAACTGACGATGGGCCAGCAAATTCAAACCCTAGAAACCAAAATCCATGCTCAACACAACTTAAAATCCCCCGGGATTACAGATACAATTCATGATGAATCCGGAAAACCCAAATTGCGATTCATTCACAGAGTAAAGATTCAGTTATAAGAGAGAAATTACCTTTCTTTATGGCGACTGAAATTGAGGAGAAACATCCGAACCCAACTTCTGTTCCAGTCAAAAGTGCTTGATCGACACAGAATCAAGTAAAGTTTGAAGCTTTTCCATCTTTATGGAAGAACAGTATGAAACAGTGGTAAGTATTTTGGGTTTCTTGAGTTGAAACCGAAGTTTAAAAGAAGTTAAAGTTGTACCATATGGGAGATTATTCGAATTTTGTTTTCCCATGTGTAGTAAGTAGATGGCGTCATAAAGAATTTAAGCATTGAAGGGATTACCTGTCACAAAGAAGTTAGATGTGGCCGTGTCTCTCTGTTCCATGTTTCGTTTTGAATTTTTAACTTAATATATTCAGGGCTAAATTTCTTGTATTATATTTTCGTTACATTTTATGATTCTTAGCGATATATATATATATATATATATATATATATATATATATATATATATATATATATATATATATATATATATATATATATATATATAGAGTTAGGTTATTTTGTTTTTACTAACTATTGTGTGCCAGAATGCACAGATCTGGACCACCGGATGGAATAAAATCAAAGGTCATGATCTGAGGGTCTATGATATTACAATAGGGTAACATATACCATATAATCACACAAATTTCAGCATAAGGGCATTTTAGTCAATTAAGACAAATTTAAAAAAGGAAAAATCGTGAATTATGGGATAATAAATGATTTTGATTTAAAAAAATCTGATTTTTTTTTTTCAAATTAATTCAATTTCAAATGTAATTTGTAAGCATATACGATTTTATTCTATCGGAATGTCATTTTGTTAGAATGATATTCTGTAATTCTGTCAGAATGGTATACAACTATGAACATAATATTATAAACACATATTATCAAGATCAATAATTTTTAATGAATACAAATGTTATATAAGACGAAGTTTAGTAGTTTAGAATAAATAATTACATTCATTCTTAAAGAATACAACTATGAACATAAATTACATTCATTCTTGAAATCTCTTAAAAAAATATTGGCATTCTTGAAAGAATCCTCATTCACTTTCTTGTTTCGTTCCTAGATGTCTTGTGTATGTTTGACCTCTAAGCTACTTCAAAATATCTAGCATTCTATGAGATTGACATTTTGTAAGATTTGCATTCTGTCATAATTGTATTGCATGAGAATGATTTTATAGGAGCTACAAAAGGAGATAAACTCGAGGATGGTAAGTGATCCCTTGGCAAAACTTCAAACATCTGAAAAACATAAAAAACAAAAATCATGTAAAAACATCAGCTAATTGCAATACAACCCTTGCAGAATCATTCTTATGTGATTATACCGGAATTACAATTCTGGTAGAATCATTCATATGTGATTTCCAAGATGATAATACTCTCCACAGAATATTCTTAAAAAATAAAATAATTATTCTTACATAACGAAAAAATTGAAGATAAGAATAAACACCCAATAATTATTCTATAGAAATATTCTTATGTGATTTCCAGCACTTTATTTCATAATCGAAAAATGAATCCCTCTCTTTCAATATTGAAAGAAAATGAGAGTATTTCTAAATTTAAAGTATGATAGAATAACATAATTCACTGTTTTTATTTGGTTTACCTTGGGAGATTAGATGCACAACAATAAACATTTCATCGCTAACCATGAACACAATATGAGATTGTCATATTTCTCATTGGCATTTCATCAAACACTTTAAGGACACCCCGTAAATCACCACATTTTCTATGAATCATGCATGAAAAAAAAATCCAATTAAGAACCATCAACATCAAATTCATATGAACAACAATATATTTCAACACCATTATAAAAATCTAAAACTAAAAGTTGAAATTCTAGAAATTGGCTAGTTGGAAGAACGAAGAAAAAAACATGTTTTCTATGGAATGGAATTGTAAGTCTGGTAAATTAAATTGTAGAAATCTCTTTGACCAACTATTGGAGATAGAAGCTAGCTTCGATTGGAGATGGATTCCTCGAGAATAACATCTTCATCTTGTCAACGGAATGGGAAAATAGATTTGCAGCTTCTGATCCACAGCTTCTTCTTCATTCGTCAATAAGAAAAGAAATTGGGAGGAGGTAGAAATAGAATACGTATCATATGAGAGGCTAGGGTTAAATAATTGGTCAAAAAGATTTTTATGGTAATTTCCATGAATTAAGAGATTTTATTTTAATTGTTATGCTAAAGTTACATAATTACCCTTATAACAATTTTTATTTATTTAATTATTCCTAAATTCCTATTGGTGCATTCATGCACACAATAGTTGCTAGAAACATTTGAACCTAGCTCTATATATATATATATATATATATATATATATATATATATATATATATATATATATATATATATATATATATATATATATATCTTGTGGTTTTCGAAAATATCAAGTTTAGTCCTTAAGCTCAAAAAATCTCAAAAATGGTCTCTGTGGTTTCAAAACTTTTAACAAATGGTCATTCCGCCTAACTCCGTCAGCTTTCTACCGTTAAGTAAGGGGCATTATCGCCATTTCAATACACATGGACCATTTATGAGGTTTTCTCTATTTATAATATAAAAAAAACAAATATAATTATTTAATTAAAGGGCCCCACTCTCTCTCTCTCTCTCTCTCTCCTTGTATAACTGATGGAACAAAAAAACCCAGCACCACCACCACTCTCCCTCCCGAGGACAACCCAAACCTCCAACACCACTGAGAAACCTTCATCACCGCCTGCCATCTTCTTTGCCCCTCTCTCTGAGTTCACGCTGATAGAACGCAATGGAGAGGCAGCGGAGCTGCCACAGCACGCCACCCATCACCGCCACTCGCAGCTCCGCCATCAATTACATATATATGTTTTAATAAAAAATTTAAAGACCTGCATCGCACAATGACTTGAACATTAACACCTTTTTCTCTGTCATGTTTACCATTCATTTGTACTTCTGGTCTAATATCTCTTACTGCCTTGTCACTGGACCTTGGGGTGTGTGAGGGTGACCTCGGGACCATATTTCCTCTTTTCTCCATAGTTAAGATATGGTTACTCAAATCACGAGTCTTGCAGATTTTGAAACTCAATGATTCAATGGATTCTAATCAGAAAAATCCAAGGTGTGCATAAAATCAGTTTTTGACAGAAGCATTTTATGGAACACAACCTATCCTAAAAACAAATTCAATAACAGGAATGTTATCATACAAATTCTCGTAATGTACAAAGACCAATGACCTATAGGTTAATTAGTTCTAAGTCAAATTTAATAAGATTTTTATGGTTCTTTAATTAAATGTAGTTGAAGAGAAAATAGTAACATAGCTATCGCTCTGTACTCTGGATAAGACCTATTTATTTTGACATCCCAGTATCCCACCATTAAAAAGAAAAAAAAACCCAAGGAAGATGGCAGGTGGTGATGAAGGTTTCTCAATGGTGTTGGAGGTTTGGGTTGTCCTCGGAAGGGAAGAAGTTAGAGGGAGGGAGAGTGGTGACGGTGTTGTATATGCTCGAGTTGGTACTACTGAGATGAAGAAAAGAAGGCTTGGTCTTTGGCTGGTCAACAAGTAAAAGGGGTGAAGGCACAGGAGGGTGGTGGGTTTTATTGTTCCATCAGTTATACAAGGAGAGAGAGAGTGTGTGTGTGTTGGGGGGGGGGGGGGGGGCTTTTAATTAAATAATTATATTTGTTTTTTCTTTTTTTAAAATAGAGAAAACCTCTTAAATGATCCCTGTGTATTGAAATGATGAAAATGCCCCTTACTTAACGGTAGAAAGCTGATGGAGTTAGGCGGAAGGACCATTTGTTAAAAGTTTTGAAACCACAGGGACCATCTGTGAGGTTTTTTGAACTTAGGGGCTAAACTTGATATTTTCGGAAACCACAGGAACCATTTTTGAAGTTTTGTCTAAAAAAATAATAGACATATTTTAAAGAATTGCTTTGAATCACAACTTTTTAAAAACCAACTCCACATTTTATGGAGACTGTCATTGATTATGTTTATTTTCAATGCAAAACATATTGTTAATGGATTATTTTCTTTGAAATGTGATAATAATTATTTTATATGAAGAGGTTTAAGATATTCTTGGAATAAAAGTATGATTTTCTATATTATTTCCAAATAAATGAATGTTGATTATATAAATTAAAGTACTACACAGTTTTTTTGAAAGATGGAGATTTTAATAAAAATAAAATAATTTAAAATTTTGAACAAAGAAGAGTGTAATAGTACATATAAGTAAAAATATGTCTTTATAACAAAAGAACAAAAAACAAATTATATTACTCCCTTTATCCCGAAATTATTGTCTACACACAAAAAAACATAGATATTAAAAAATATATATTAATTACCATAATAACTTTCATATAAAGACATTAATTGAATATCATATGGTTGGATACTTTCCTTCTATTTTTTAATTTAATATTTTATTTTTAACATGAGTTTTACATATTAATAATCTCATTACAATTTTCAAAATCATTAATCTCGAGCTTCCAAGATGAGTTATGTGTTTTTAATGCTAAAAAATGTTAATTAGTCATAGGATTTACGTTTAAGGGGAGAAAGTAGAAAAAGACTAATTAATGTAGATAATATTTCATGATTTATTGCCTAATTAATGTTGATATGAATTCCTGATTTAATGTTTAATTTTCCTTATTTACATGTGTAGTAAATGTTTTTAAAATGCAAAAAAAAAAAAAAAAAAAAAATAACAACAAAATGCCATGTGGAAAAAAGAAAATTAGAAAAAAAAAAATGAGAAAAGTTCACGTGACATATTGAATAAGAAGAAGACAAGTGGTAAAAACATTATTATTTATTAGGGTAGATATATAAAAAACAAAAAACCTTAAAAAAATCCTAAAAATACATAATAATAAAAAAAATACTTAAAGATTACAAATCTTTTTTTTATTATTATTTTATATTCTAAAAAATCACAGTTTTTTTTATAATTTTACTGAAAAAAAGTTCAATAGAGAATTATTATTATTATTATTATAATATATATATATATATATATATATATATATATATATATATATATATATATATATATATATATATATATATATAGAGAGAGAGAGAGAGAGAGAGAGAGAGAAAAGTTCAATAGAGAACCATTATTAAACAAGGAACCAATAAACTAATCCATAGCATCGAAATTTAAAGCGATCAATGGCAAAATGAGAGTTGTAGACTTTTACAATGTACGCACATGTATCGAATTATAACAAAATCCATTTTTTTTCTTTTAAATTTTTTTAGGAGATGTTTTTTATCGAAAAAAAACCGAGTATACCGTTGTTCACGATTTTCCGTCATCTTTTCAAAGAGATACATGATGATATATAAAAAACAAACTTTTTTTTCGAAATAAAAAACTCACTGTCATTTTCTTTGTTGAAAAGTTAAGATCTATTTTTTTATAGAAAAAATTAATAAATATATCAAAATTCATTCTTTTTATACATTTTAAATATAGATTTATATTTATGTAAAAAAAACCATATTTTAGTTTAGATTCACATTGTGAACCTTCTCATTCACAGTGTGCATAATAGTAAGTCAGACTTACAATGTGAGTATGAATTGATCGGAGCTTTTTCACATTGTGAATGTTAAAAATTGAAATATTTACAGTTTAGATTCATTGTGTGAATCTATACTGACCGGGTTTTTTTTTTTTTTTTTTTTTTTTTTTTTGTAACATTCTCAGATTCACAGTGTGCATAATAGTAAGCCAGATTCACAATGTGAATCTGAACTGTTAGAGCTTTTTCACATTATGAATGATAAAAATTGAAATATTTACAGTTTAAATTCACAATGTGAATCTACATTGTTCGAGGGTTTTTTTTTTTTTTTTAAATTGGTGTTGATGTTTATTAATAGAGGTGGATTTTAAACGAAAAAAATGTGAGTTTTTTGGTAAAGGTGTTGATTTTTTGGTATAATCCGGTATGTGTGCATCAAATATAAAAGTGTACATCTATTTCCTTGGCCGTTGATCATTATGATTTCTGACGCTCCCGATTGGTTTATTGGTTTCTTGTTAATTATGGTTCTTTATTGAACCTCATCATATATCATTATTATATATAAAAACCTTGTTTTTTCCAGAGCGCATAGAGCGCGTTAGATGGGTTTGTAAAAGAACGCGTCTTTGCATATACATTGTTACCCAACATTTCCACCGCTTCCAAAACGATGCATCGTTTCCCGGTACCATCACATCCATCGAAATTGCCCTCCCCCACCCTTCGTCTCTCTTTCTTTCCTTCTCTTCGTCTTCTACTATCGGGCCATCCCATAAACACCCTTTTTTCTGGTGCTGCTACACCTCGTTTGTACAATTCCAATGACACCACGTCATCCAACATTGGAACGATGCCAATCAAATTGGAGGCAAAAGGATTAAGGTGAATCGATACGTTGTTTTTTCCACCACTTCTGGAAAACGATGCATCGAATCAACCTCTCATACGCCTGTTGAAGACAAAGGGTATATATATATATATATATATATATATATATATATATATATATATATATATATCAATATATGCCATCTTCTCTCTATTCAAGATAAGTTCGTTCCATTCCGTTTCAATTGCTTTTCGGTTTCCCATACAATTTTTCTCTTCCTCATCGTCTTTTATCATTGTTAATTTTTAGTTTTTCAATGTCTTAATGGAGATGCTCTACAGCGGGAGCAATTTAGGCCCAAAGATGAAGATTTTTCTTTGGATTGCATGGTCTCTAGGGTTTTTTTGTTGCCCGAACAATTGCTGCATTTTGTTTGATTTGTTGAAATCACTGAATTTTAATATGGTGTCGGCTAGAGGAAATTCATAGGGTTGCAGTTCCTCCACGTATCCAACTCTCGGAACAACACAATGTGCACAAATGCCGATTAAATCTTTCTGATCATTGCCTCCCTTTGATCATTGCCTCCCTTCTAACACTTACCTTTTCCAATTCTGATTACCCATCCGTTCTACATCTCTCCAAACGCACGAACGGTTCCTCATCAAGAAAAATATGACATATCATCCAGAAAATAGAAATCAATTATTATGCGACGAATATAAAATTCGCCCAATTCTTGACAACAAATATTCAGAATGTTGAATTAAATGAGAACGACAACATTGATCTTTCTGCCGTCAGCATCTTCCCACTGGTATGTTATCTTCACGAACCTTAATTTGATTTCAATTGTTTTTTCTGTTTACCGTCAATCCAATCGATGGATTTTCTTCCCCTATTAAAATCTATTCAAATGGTCGTTTTTCCTTCAATCTGGAAACTCGATTTGGGTGAAATATATGTTCAGGATTAATATTTTCTTTCCAGATAGTAATTATAATTTTTTGGTCAAATACATCTCCAATTCTACTTATGATTAACGACTCCAACAGGGAAAATATATATTGTTGAGAGTTTACATCTTTTCCAATTCTAATTATGATTAACGATTGCAATAGGGAAAATAAAATTTTTGAGAGTTTTTCATTAGTTACTTTTACTTTGTATACCTTTGAGATTCAATTATATAAAAGTGACAGATCATGACAACTTTTTTGTTGAGATGTTGTATCGTGGTTGGCTCCCTATATCTAATTAAATTCATGGGGGAAATGGTAAGTAACCGTCAATTTTTTATTGTTTCATCTCAAATATGTGGGTTGATCTTATCATATTGCTGTCATAATTTTCCCACGAAACATTAGAAATGGAGCGCATATGTAGTTACTTTGTGGATTTTCCAATTGTTGGCAAGTTGGTTGATGATATGCCTAAATGAGAAGATGTCATTGTTTCTGGTTGTTTGCTTCAATAAACCTTTTTATACATATGATTATAAAGCCAAGTCCACTTACTCATATTTTCTTTGCATATTGTTCGTGTTTGTTATGTCAAGAAAATATATATGTAACCGGTTCATTTTTTAGGGAAAGAAATATTGTTTTTGCTGCTGCTTGTGACGGTTTGAATGACTAGCTTATTCAGGTGATGATCTAGAATTTGGAACAAATGATGGAAATGGTTTTAAATTGATTTAAAGATTACGAGAGACTATATATGATGGAACAAGGAAACTCTTGGCTATCAGATTACTTGAAATGATGAAATTATTACAGCTGGAACGTGAATGAAATTTGATGGTCATAGATTTGTCATTATAGAATCCAAATATCACAAACCATTGAACATTCAAATGTTGATCGAAGAAATTGCCATAAATAGAATACAATGCAGTCAAAGATTCATATTGAGCATCTGTTGCTTTGACATCTATATATACATAGATCTTATCATTCATTCCATATAGAAACCTCACGCAAATGACAAAACTAATCACTAATTCGATTTTCTTACTCGTTTTGTGGAAGTTTTTTGAAGCAGATACTCGGTTTTACCGGTACCCAAAGCTTCTTCTTTGGGTAATGCTTGATTTATATCCTCATATTTTGTCAAATTTATTGAACAATTTGGTGTAAATTAGTCACTTTTTACAAGCCACTGGAGAAACCAGAGGATGAGGTGGAGAAGTGCCTTAGATGGATGTTTACTAAATTTTCCGTAGTGATATTAATGTATTTAAGTGAAACTACGAATATCGTTCACAACTGTCAGGAAGTGTTAAAGTATTGTCACCGTCTTCATTTCTTCCATTGCAATTCCTGTTTTCATACTTGGGAGTACATGTATTCTCTATATATTTCTCATTATTTCTTATGTGTTAATGCAATTTGTTTTGTTTTTATGTAGTCTCGAGTCATTTTGTAGTAGATAGGGATGTCAAATTATATAATTATGATGAAATTATTGAGTTTGATTGGTATAAACCGGGAGATATTATCACATCAGAAACATTGATCTTATTATTCATTCCATAGGATACCTATGATGCTAGCTGCAAAATAGACAATGATTGATCTGGAGTGTCATCCATAAAGAACTAGAGTATAGACAGACAATTTGATCGAGAGAAACCCACTACGAGGCTCTTTCGTCTACTAGTTATTCATTATTGTCATTACACATTACATTATTATTTATTGATATGCCTACAAAAAAAAAAAAAAAACTAATTTGTCATGTGATAAGTTTTTAGCACTATATTAAAAAGAGTAAATTGCAACGAATGACATACTTCAATTTTGTATTACAATTGTAATTTATACATTACTTTTTACATGTAATAGCACTGAACTTATAATTTTACCCAAATATATCAATGTACTTATTGCTTACCAATGATAGTAACATACTTGTGATTATAAGAATATGCTTTCGCTTTCATTTCTAATTCAAGCATTTTACATCAGTAAAAAAACCAAATTATTTTTTGTGGGTTGTGCTTAGCACGGGCCTCAAGCTTTTCTAGTATATATATATATATATATATATATATATATATATATATATATATATATATATATATATATATATATATATATATATATATAAAGGGAAAACTACAATAAAGTCCCTACATATTGACCTCATAATCGATTTAGTCCTTATATATATTTTTTATTCAATTAAGTCTCAAATACCGGTAATCGTATTCAATTTAACACTTTGACCCGGTCAACAGGTCATCAAACTTTAAAAAATTACATTTTTCGCCCAGATTTCAGATTTTATTACAAATTTGGTCCTAAATTTACACTTTTGCCCCAAATTTTAATTTTTTTTACAAATTTGGTCTAAAATTTACCCTTTTTGCCCAAATTTTAGAACTTTATTATGAATTCATCCTAAATTTAGTTTTTTTTTTACAACTTTTTTTTTCTTAAAAATTTGTTTCTAATATGTTTTTTTCTTTTTAAACTCATATTTATACAAAAAAAAACATATTTTCACATAAAAATCTTATTTTTTCTATATAAAAACCTTTTTTAAAAAGTTTTTTGTATATAAAATATCTAGTTATAAAAATAGGTTTGGATTATTTGTATGATATCTCTTAAAAAATCAATTAAGAAATTAAAAGTAAGCCTAAATTATAAAAACAAGTTTGGATTATTTGTTCTTTAAACACATTTATATGAAACTTTAAACTAGTTACATTATATATCAAAGTCTAAAATATATATAATATAATAATATTATATTTTATTCGTAAAAAAATTTTAAAGAAAAAAGTTAAAATCATAACTTTGATATATTTTGTACAACTTTTTAACAAATATATTATCTAAATAAAACATATCCATTCATGACACGTGTCCGATCCAGGTTGTGATTTTTTAATGCCAATCAACCTCTTCTTACTTGGATTATTTATAATCTTGTATTTCCTAAATTTTTTAATGTCTGTTATACGGAATACCGGTTGCAATTTATTATCGATAAACATGTTTTTAGGGAAGTGAGAAATGAGCAAAAATACAATAGCAACATAAATATATAAAATATTATAACTATCAATAACACAATAGAATACTTCAACTAAAGTTCTAAAGAATTTACACATGAGTTTGGTTTAAAAAAATTACTCAAACACGTGAAACATGCTTGAGTTGAGCTTCACAAGGAAAGTATCACAACCTACTCAAAAACATAATGTCAAAATTTTTTAATAAAATGGTTTTTTTTCTATGAACTACAATTAAGAACTGACATTATTTTTCGTATAAATGTGATTAAAGAACAAATAAATAATATTCAAATGAGTGTAACTAGTTTTTGACAAACTATAATTTTATAGTATAATTTAGGGTTACTTTTAATTTCTTAATTGATTTTTTAAGAGAAATCATACAAATAATCCAAACCTATTTTTTTAAGTAGAAATTTCATATACAAAAACTTTTAAAAAAAGTTTTTATATAGAAAATATAAGATTTTTATGTGGAAATATGTTTTTTTTTGTATAAATATGAGTTTATAAAGAAAAAACACATTAGAAACAAATTTTTAAGAAAAAAAGTTGTAAAAAAACTAAAGTGAGGATGAATTCATAATAAAATTTTAAAATTTGGGCAAAAAGTGTAAATTTTGGAACAAATTTTTTTTTTAAAAAAAATTATAATCTGGGCCAAAAGTGTAAATTTTGGACAAAATTTGTAATAAATTTTGAAATCTGGGCCAAAAATGTAATTTTTGAAAGTTGGATGACCTGTTGACCGGGTCAAAGGGTTAAATTGAATACGATTACCGGTATTTGAGACTTAATTGTATAAAAAATATATATAAAGACTAAATCGATTATGAGGCCAATATGTAGGGATTTTATTGAAGTTTTTCATATATATATATATATATATATATATATATATATATATATATATATATATATATATATATATATATATATATATATATATATATATATATGTTGTGTATTTGATAATGTTGTAATATA